ATTGTGTCCAATGGTAGAATCCTTAAGTGGGTTTCTTAAAAAAAAATGATAGAAAATTAAGCTTACTATTAAAGATGATGAAAAAACTAAGCTTACCATTAAAGATGATGAAAAATTAAGCTTACAACAGACAAGTCTAAATTAACGAGGCTGCATCGTCATCAAGATATTTATATCACTACACAGTCCAACTCAACAAAATTAAGCTTACCATTATAGATGATGAAAAAAATCATATGAGAAAAGAATTGGTGTGAACACTTTGCATCAGTGACAACATTGGTAAATGACTCATCAGCATAAGAAAATATAAGAGTTAAAAGAATTGAGGAAATAGAACAATGATAAGATAAAGAAGTCTGAAAGATAGCATGCATGATCTTTCTGATGTAAAGCTTTTAACATGAAGTCTACTTCATGATTCCTTTTCTTAAATAGAATTTTCACTACAAGCGGCTTGAAGGCATTCCACTAGCAATGCCGTGATAGTTAATGGAAAGCAACTCTTAAACACTTGAACCATACTGAGCATTAGATCTTTCTCCTGAGTATCTGTAGAATTTCTTTTAGCAGGTGCAGACATGGCATAATCTGTTCAATATCTCCCTTGAAACCAACTGCAAATGAAACAAGTACCATCATGATCATTCTAGCACTCACTCACTCACTAAAGCACATATCTGTTATGTTATGATGAACACAAGGGAACCAACAAAAAAATCAAGTTACTACGTCACAAACTAACTAGCCTAGAAGGAAAAAATGTTATCACACAAATCATAAGTTCGATTAACACTTTTCTAAAAACTATCTCTACGAAAATATGACGCCTAACGTAGGTTTAATTATCAGAGAGACTAAGAAACATAATATATCAAAAAATGTGACTATCCGAGAACAAATCTAAACAAAGAAGAACAGTAGCATGAATCAAATTATGAGATTACGAAAGCTAAGTTAGCAGGAATCAAATTCAGGAAGGAGGAGCAGTACGAAAGCTAAGTTTAGGAGAAAGTGAATCAGAAGGTAAAATCAAACAGATTCTTAACATTGATCGACCATTTCTTAATCAAATCAACGCATAATCGTCACCTCTAACACATAAATGTTCACTGATTATGATCAACGATCGTCAATCGTCGAACCTTAACAAACCGAAGCTAGAACAACGCCTGACAGTGAGATTCTACTCAATCGACGAGCAACGAGAGTAAATCCTTACCGGTTGAATCGCTATACAGTTGTATATGTGGTAGGCGCTACCGGTAAACGTTCAACGGCAACAAGACGACGGCACCAGAGAGAAAAAATCGCCGACGGAATTCGGAAAAAACAAGGCAAGAGAGAGAGACACGGGAATTTTTTTTTTTGTTTTCTCACTTTTTCGAACCAATGACGCGGTGACACGTAGCACCTCTTAACAGCCCAAAAAACTCTAAAACAAGAAACGTTTCTTTGATTTATTATCTGTTTTGATTTAAATTTAGGGTTTTTATTATAAGAACTAAAGCTTAGAACCCTTTAAGAGCCACCATTGCTGTTGCTCTTAGGTGTTAGATCCTAAAGTCACTAATTAAGTTTGGCCGAGACTTAAAGCTCTTTCTAGCACCTTTTAACTTCGAAAAAATAAAGGAATTAGTTACTGTTTATTACTACGAAGGAAGGGTGTCTCAGCTTTTAGTGAAGTCAGAAAGAGTGCCTCAGAGTCTTAAACTTCTACTATATATTGGGATCCTAAATTTAAAACACTAGAGTCTTTCACCTAAGAGATAAAAATAGAGTGAGAATGTTTCAAATCTCACTTAATAGAGAAAAAAGATTACAATTATATCATCAAAAATGATGATCTCACTTAATCTAGTTTAATAGAGTGAGGATCATAGAGCTGAGAAATATTCTTAAGTCGATCTAGCTCTTGCATGATAACATATTAAATATCTTCTCATCAAACACATTCAAAGGCATATATAAGACAGAAAGTAATAAAAAATTATTCCAAAAGATCATCAAGGGTTAAGAAATGAACTTTGGTTAGAGACTTTGCCACTTGGGGACATTAATAATCATCTAGAAAGCCTCATACGAAGGAAATTAATAACATCAGAAATTCAGAATTATATAGAGGATGATCAGATTAAAAAAAATGTGTGAAATCATGCGTACGACTAATATAATATAGACATTTTAGCTGAATTTTTTTTTATAAACCTTGCGTTGTTATTTCATATAAAATTTGTATTCTGGCTTTTGGTATGCATGGGCCTGATTATGGGCCAGAACCGAAACCGAATGGAACCGAACCGATAACCGATCGGATAACCGAACGGCCAGGACTAACAAAATGGACAAAGAGTGTTACGATCATAAATGCATAATGACTCAATATTTGAGTAATTTTAAGATCAGTCTTGTTCACTTTTACGCGATATGATCCAAACTTTGAAACTTACCAACTTCCCTTTGGTTTTAAAAATTTTAAATACTATTTTGATATTTTCCAAAGGGAAAAATGTCATTAAAATCCCCAACTAATTCAAAACGTTGATTTAAATCCTCAACTCACGACAAAACGAAATAAATATCAAACTTATGTTGACTTTCCAAATAAATATTAAACTTATGTTGACTTTTTAAATAAACACCAAAATTTCATTGACTTGGCCATATTAGGCATGACGTTAAGTGAGTTAACAGACCATGTTAACGGGATTAATTTTCTGTTAACAGACCCGCTAATTAAAAATGACAGTCTTCCTTCTAAACATAAAACGACGTTGTTTTGTCGTAACTGCTCAATAAAATCCCGAGTTTCATATCATATGAAGATTTAGGGTTAGGGATTTTGCTCAATTTGGGGATCTAAGATTGACTTTAGGGATTTAATTCAATCGTTACACCAAAACGACGTCGTTTTGTTGTTATATGAAACGATATTGTTATCAATTAACATGTATGTTAACAGAAAATTAACTCCGTTAGCGAGATCTATTAACCCACTTAACGTCGTACCTAATATGGCCAGGTCAACGGAAGTTTGATATTTATTTGGAAAGTCAACAGAAATTTGATATTTATTTGGAAAGTCAACATAAGTTTGATATTTATTTCGTTTCGTCATGAGTTGAAGATTTAAATCAACGTTTTGAATAGAAACTATTCTGCTGATGGATAGCACCGGGCTCTAAATAAGCCACAACGATCAAAATAGGCCCAGAGTATATATTTATGGGCCTTTATAAAGCCCAATATAATGATTTGAGATCTGGAAGTGGGCCCCAAGATGAGCTGTAGAAAAGCATTGCAAGGCTGTGTGGGATGAATGATGATGACGCGAGGTGGGCCACGTGGGGGAAGGAATGTTGTTAGGCTTTTTTTTTAGTCTAAAGGCGTGCGGAGACACCTCTGTCTCTTTGCTCCTTTTCCTCTTTATTACTCTTTTTTTTTTCCATTTTAATTATGCACCTTGCTCATATAATCTAAAGTAAGTTCTACTAAACATTGCAATGTAAACCATAATTTGTACGACAAAAAAAACCATAATTTGTAAGATTGATCTAGTTTTAGAGTAATCACTTTTGGACTATAGGCCGGCTTTTTATTCTTCTTGTTGTGAGATCTCATAAAGGAGAAAACCCGACTTAAGTGTTATAATAATCTACTGGAGTTTAATTCTTCATATGCATGATCTATATATCAAGTTTGGTTGGAATACTATGTAAATCGGTAAAAATTTGATTGACAACGATGTAGAATCTTTTACTTTTTTTTTTGTATTTAGAATTGTGGAATTTTTCTAACATGAAATTCTTTTATTTAACTTAAAAAACAGTAAATTAGATTTTAGATTATCAATAAATTTATAGAGTCTGACTGGTGACACAATACACATTTTTTTAACTAATAGAATAAGTGGTAATAAGCTATACCATAATAGTTAAAAAGACACATAATCCATCTCTTGGATCCTCGCAAACTCGAAGATGGACTCCGCTTATGGTTTGAATCTAGGACCTAGGGTTCTTAGTTTTATGCTTAGAATTCTTTCAAAACAACATTCGATTTAAGGTTGCATTCATTGTACAAAGGACTTTTTTTGTTGAATAAATTTAACATTCATTAAAAAAAAAAAACACATAATAATTGTATAAAAACCCGATCTATAAACTGAGAGTAACATTTTTTGTAAAGCTTTTGATACCACCTTTTGTAATTGGATGTAAATCAGCATAACTTGTGATTAATGAAATTCTGAAATACTTTGCGAACTATCAATCAAATTTACATTTGATCTGAATACACGTAAATATGTTGCCTAACACATTATTAAATCATGCTCTAAGAAGTCTGCATGTGCGTTTGCCCGGACAAAAAAAAAGTATTAAATCATTTATGTCTATTGTCTACTAAATAAATTTACACACCTTTCTGTGCAATTTTTTTTTTTCGTCTAAAAAATTTCATTGATAAAATGCGATTTTGAGTTATACAAAACAGATAAGAAACAAAAACCTTTCGGAGACAAAACCGGCAGATACATAGAAACCCCTAGAGACATAAAGTCAAAAGAGGCGAACAGACATATCAAGTCTTTGTGTGCAATTATAATATGGATTCTTACGAAGGTAACAAATAAAATATAAAGTTCAATTTATTTAGAGAGATATGTGGACTAAAAACAAATAATAAAAAAATAAACACAAAGAAAATTAGAGGAATATAATGTTTTTTTTTTTGGTATTTTCTCTGTTAGTTATTACTATTTGCTAAGTAATTTTTTTTTGGTGGCACTAAAAATACAGAAATCTTCAATTTTAAGATTTTCCACCGATAAAAACACCAAAAAATTAAATAACAGCTCAAATATATATTTTCCAACTGTAAATCTATTTTACAGAGTGGATCCGACCAACAAGAAAAAAAGTGTACACACAGTGACCGTACAAAAAAAAAAAACGTCATTGATATTTGTGAAAGCTAAGTTAAATAATTCAATGAGTGTGTCCCCAACTTCTCTCTTTTTTTTTTTGTTTCCCTGACTTTTCCTTGAATCCTCTTCCCTCCTTCTCTTCTCTCTCTCGTCTCTCAACTACCGTTTCTCTGCTTCTTCTGTTCCCAAAATCGGAAACTTTAGTTGGTTGAATTTTCCTTTGTTTCTGAAATGGAAGACACAACATTTACCAAAGTGTTCGTTGGAGGATTAGCTTGGGAAACACACAAAATCTCTCTCAGGAATTACTTTGAACAGTTTGGGGACATTGTTGAAGCTGTCGTTATCACTGATAAATCTAGTGGTAGATCTAAAGGCTACGGCTTTGTAAGTGTTTTCTTCTTCTTCTTGTTTCTTTGAGATTTATCATAGCTTCAAGCTCACGGGTTCTGTTTTTTTTTTTTTGTTTTTTGTTATAGGTTACTTTTTGTGATCCGGAAGCAGCTCAAAAAGCTTGTGTAGATCCAGCTCCTGTTATTGATGGCAGAAGAGCTAATTGTAATCTTGCTGCTTTTGGTGTTCAGAGATCCAAACCTTCTTCTCCTATTCATGGTACTTTTAGGTTTCTGTCTTTTGATACTTTACTTTTGAAAACCCTAGTATATGTATATCCATGGATCTTACCATTCTTTAAGAGAAAAGCTGGAATTGTGTGTCTTGAATCACATATTAGTAGCAAAGTTAGATACTTTATCTTACTTTATTGTTTGATGAATAGCTTCATCTTGATTCAGCCAACTAGTAAAGCCATTTTCTTGCTCAGTAGTCTTTATGATTCTTCTGCAGACTAGTTAGTTAAACCTTCTGGTTAAATATGATGTGTTTTGTTATGTTTGAGAGGAGATTCTTATGGTGTTGTGTTTAAGCAGGACATGCAGGAGGAAGAGGCGGTATGAAGGTGACTAGCCCATTCAAGACACACTTTGGGGCCGCGGCTGCTGCTATTCCTTCCCCACTTCCATTCTCCCACTACACACTTCCTTACACTAATCCTTTTGGGTACTCCACGTTTAGTTTCTTACTTTACTTTTCCAAACTCATGACTCTACTTAGACTGATAATCCTTTGTTTTGTCTCATTAAACTTTCTTAGGTTCTCTTCATACTCAATGGACTACAATTACCCCACGGTATGTTTATTGTGCTTATCAAATAACTATGAGAGTCTCTCCCTACTATACTTTTATCTCTTATAGCTTATTGGATTCTTGTTTTTGTAACAGAGCTACTACAATGTTTATGGTGGGGCAACTGCTCAGCATCCAATGTATGGTAGCGGACCAATGACTGGTGTAGCAGCAGCAACAGCAGCAGGGTTCTACCCATATCTCCAGTTTGCTGAAGGAAATGGACCTATCACTGGTTATGCTCCTCTTCATTACCCCAACCACATGTTTCATTATTCTGCTCTTGCCTCGGCTACCGGGGGAAACTACCCGCATCACAATGGTTCACCAGTGTCTCTTGCACCTTCCCCAGTCATACCATCAGGTTTGTGTGTTTCTATGTTTTCTCGTTCATACAAAACCTGGAAAACCAGAGGTACTGATGTTCTCAGCAGTTTGCTTTGCAGTTCCACAGGCTTGACCATGAAGGCTCATGGTTCAACTCTTGATTCCATGATGCTATGTAGGGGACCAATTCACTTAAATCCTTAAGGCAAGCTTTGTTTACTCCTTTCAACCACATGCCTCTGAAGTTCCACAAGACCTGTGGCCTAACCATGGTTGCCCTTTTCCCTTTATGCTTCTAACCCATTAGACAAAGAGCCCAGAATTTGGAGTTTGGGAGTCTTTGCAAGTTCTAGTTAAGTCTCACATAGGGCTTTAACTTGGACCATCTTCATACACATTACTCATCTTTTCATTTTATTCATTGCATTATGTGCTTTCTGAACGAAGGTTTCGTTCAAGATAGCCTGTTCGAGCTGTAGAAGTAAAAGAGTTACCGTTGTCTTGCACAGTGCCCGAGAAAGGCAAGCAATTTTGTAGAAAAACTTAAAAAGCTTAGGATAGGCTGATCAACAAGAAAGGAAATAAGGATTTCCCGGGAAAGGCACAAGAAGTGAAATGCCACCACCTGGAAGTGTTTGAAGTAGTGTGTGCAATGGTGTACCCACTACTTCGCGCTATATCCATTTTAATGTGCAGTCTTAGGATTATTAGATCTAGGACCATGTTGTTACACATTGTCTTATCGTAGAACGCTAGAACATAAACTTCTTTTTAGGATAAAGGAAGTAACGGTGTTTGCTAACCCATGTATATTCTCGGTGGCTAAGCTTTGGAGTTATAGCCACAGTTGAGCTAACTTTAGATTAAGATCATTTTACGATTCAAAAATTTAGATTGCTCATCATATCTTGAACCAACCCCACTAATGGATTGTGGGGTCTTTGCATTTGCATGTTTTTGCCTCTTGGGAGATATTTTGGTTCCCATTTAGGTTCTTCTCATAACATCAACCAAACCAGTTGACCAACCATGGTTAGGATTTCAGGTGAGAGGTATTCATCACCTCTTTATCTCTCTTTTACTCTTTCCTCTGTTTCTTCAAGGACTAAAAACTCTCTTTTATGTATTTGTTGTTATCTTGTAAGCTGTGTGTTTCTGATTCTATGTAAGAAAACAAAACCTTTCATTTTCCATCCGCGGTGGTTGGAAAATGAAACTGTGATTGCAATATTTTACTTTGATCTGATATATCCTCTTGTGTATGATTTATGACAATGTCTCCTACTATATGAATCCCGAATATTCATTATCTCGATGTGAAGAGGCCTTACTATTTTTGCCTATGAACAAAGAAGACGGCTCGATCATTCTGCTATAGACTGATTTTTATGTACAATCATATGAACACAATCATCATATCATACATAAAGCAAGGTTAAGAACTTGAGACCTATACGGCTATACCTAATATACAATCAACAATGCTGCAGAGTAGTATGCCAAACTGCAGTCTCTACAACGGAATTGCAGAAGAGAAAAAAGCATATGAAAGAATAAATAGATAAATTAAGTGAGAGTAGAACTTGAGGCCATGTTAATCAAGAACGTGTACACTCAATGCCATGACAAATAGCCAACCAAACACCAAGTAGCGTTAAGCAAATAGCTGCATCAATGGCAAGAACAATCTGCACTTGACGCCGCCATTTCCTCTCAATGCTCTGAGAACCACCTAATCGTCCCCTTCTTGAAACATACGTTGCTGCTGCAGATGAGGCATTAGAACATTCTGTTACGTTTCCTCTATCATTCGATTTCCGGTGTTCTTCAATCTCAATGCCTCTCAGTGAGTGCACATGATCTCTTCCTTTCTTCTTCTCTTGCTTGTTGGATCTGCCTAAAAGCGGAGCTTTCGTGGAATTAGCTGCGTCGCTTTGTTCAGCACCATCAATGGAAGGTAATGATATTGGAAGACAAGTGAGATCATTCTCCAGTGAAGCTATGAGTCTTCGAACAATTTGGTCTTGAACATTGCTAAAACTGATACTCCCAGAGAAACTTCCTCTGGAATTCTTCTTATTAGCTTTCTTTGACTCATCCTTCAGTTTCTCAAGAAAATCAAGAACGCTAGATCTCTTGAAAACATCATCAACAATGGTGAAATAAACGAACCCATCTTCCATCAAGAACCCAAAAGTCCTCTTGCTTATCGTTTCGAAGTACCACTTGTGAAAAGATGGAGTCTTTTCCAAGCATAACGCTGCGAGACTCTCGTTGTTGCGGTGGTCTCCGGCATTGTTGTAAGAGTACAGAATCTGATTGTCTCTTGAGACACAACAGTAGTGAACTGTGTTTTGGATTGAACCCATGATGGAAATTTAGATTAGGGGTGATGAGGAAGAGAGTTTCAATGAATATATCAACTATGAAGTCAAGTTTAAGATCCTTATCTTTGTCAAGAAACAACGAAAGGAATCTTGAAAAGGACCAAACAGAAGATCGAATGTTAGAGAAAGAGAAAGTATTAAAGCAGAGAGAGAACAATACAAGCTCTCTTACCCAACCTTTGACTCTGCTTTATCTTTTTCTCTTTCCTATTACCTTATCTTCTTGTTTTTGACTTTTTTCAGACTATGAAATCGCTAATTCAGGTAAGCTAAGATCAACCTTTTTGATCCAGTTTTGAATATTTGATTATCTGTTTTTGCGCGCGAGCATACGCAAATTGAGGAAAAAAGAGACTTTCTAATAGAAAATTTGGTAATTTCCCAAAAGTTTCGGTTTGATCACAAGCATTAACATCCATATAGTTGCCTTCCAAAGTGTTTGTTTTTCTAAGGATCAATCTCTCATTTTCACTCCTAGAAAATGTACTAATGTTACAACAAGTTACAAATGCAAGAAAGCAGCAAACTTTACAGGAATGTGGACTGAACAAAAGCGGTTAATCTTAACCAGGTCTACAACTACAACAAGCATTTGATGACCCGCTGCTGTTTCGTTCAGCCTCTTGCATTTCCTTAAAGCCCTCTCCATCTTGATCACATTGCTTTTCTTGGCCATCGTTTATGTGGTTTACTGGCTGAGATTCCGGTTGACTCGACACTCCTCTGTGGTTTACTGGCTCAGATTCCGGTTGACTTGACACTCCCCTGTGGTTTACTGGCTCAGATTCCGGTTGACTCAACACTTCTCCATCAGGGCTCACGAGACTCGGAACAGGATCCTCTTGGCTTTGATGGGATCGGCTCGGGATAAGAGCAAGACGGCAAAGAGGGCAAGTGGTATGTGATGTGAGCCAAAGATCAATGCAGTCCATGTGAAAAGTGTGTTTACATACCGGGATCTGTTGAAGCTTGTCATTTGCTTGATAGTCCCCAAGGCACACTGAACATCTGTAAATCAAAAGCCCAAATCAGTTTATTCTGATTCTAGTCATCACAAGTTGGACTCTCACCGTCAGAGGATAAGTCCAATAACCTACACTCCCAAATTATGCGGATAACAACTCTTCCAAACTACTACATAAGACACATTGTCCTGAAGCTATACCAAGCATAATCTCCTACAATTATCTGATCATGTATACAACTGTTGTCCCATTTCAACCTCCATTTCGATCAAGACAGACCAGAAATTCTAACCACTAGAGATAAAGATTACAAACCTCTCATCCTTTTTCACTAGAGATAACAAACTCTTCCAAACCATCAGAGAGTATGAAATCTGGAGTTCTCTCTCCTCCAAATTACATAATACACATTGTCCCGAAACTATACCCAACCATAATCTCCTACAATTATCTGATCATGGAAGCAACTGTTGTGCCATTTCAACCTCCATTTCAATCAAGACAGACCAGAAATTCTAACCACTAGAGATAAAGATTAGAAACCTCTCATCTTTTTTTCACTTCCTTAAATTGTACAACATAGATCTAATTCATAATTCATGTAACTTAATTGTTTCGAACTTTCATATCACTACACTAATTCCTTTTTAACCCTTGGAAAAACCTCAGTTAGGGTAGTGAATCCTTCTTAAAGAAAGATCAAATTTTGGAGAGAAAAGAAACTGGAAACTCACTGTGAATCCATTACGGTGAAGCTCTCTCTAAAGACAACAATGGGAAGCATCTCTCTCAGCTCTTTGCTCAATCCTAATTCAATCTGTTCATGTTACAAAACCCACCAATCATTAAACCCTTCAAGAGAAAAAAAGCACAGATCTTTACAAGAAGAAACCTATCAAGGAAGCAAAAACAGAGATTAGAGTGTACCGTGGAGAGAGAGTTTCCAGGGATGAAAGTAGTTCGCATTCCGAGAGAAGACAAATCCGAGCTACTACGACGAAGGTAAATCAAGTAAAACAAGAAGAGAATAATAAATGTGAAGCAAATTGGAACAGAAAAGATAAATGCTTGATAAAGTTTAATCTCCGGCGAGTTCGTTGCAGCTGAATAGTTTTCTGGGTTTGAATTACTATAAGACATCACCACACACAAGACACAGAGACCCAGTTAACAAACCAAAGTCTAGAAACCCAAAAAGTCTCCTCCTTTGACTGAAGAAACCAGAGATCGTCAAGATTCAAGATCCGAGTTATAAAAAAAACAATAATTGAAATAATGTATGTGTGAGAGAGAAAGAGAGATGTGGCAGAGGTTTCAGGTGAAGCATTTAGCTTTCAGTTTAGGGCAACTGTCTGTTTCCTTCTTATTTTTAAAGAGGAAAAAGTTAGGGGCATTAATAATGAATTTGAGAGATTATGAAATGTTAGATAAGTTTCCCGTAGATTCTGGCCGAACAAGCAAACAAGATAACAAGAGGAGGGAAAACGTTATACTTGCACCGATCATAATCCGACAAATCCTTCAGTTTTTTGGCCATCACCACCAAGTTGTCAACCTCAAGGTTCTTGATTGTTCTCCTTTGTAACCAAATGGAGACACGTACCATATTGCTTTTGTTTTTCTCTAGATTCATCCATAAATAAGAACAAGGACTTGGTTAGTTCAAGGGTACTCTAGTTTATCTTGAAAACATTTATCTGCCTTCTCATTATATATTTAGACACAATATGAGTACATGACTTGTCTTCTATATTTCCCTTTGACATTCTCCTCCTAAGGTCTAAACTGTTTCAAACACTGTAATTTACAGGGAGGTTTATTGTTACAGATAATTCAAACACGGACCTCAGCATCGATATTGCAGAACATAAGGTTATAGAAACTCCAATGCTCTAGCATTGTAGAAACCAAGAACTGTTTGATTTTAAGCGATCCTTTCCTTTGTAGGTGTCTTTGCGGTTGGATCAGCAGAGCTGAATTTGCGGACAAGGATTTTGAAACATGGGAGAAAAAGGATGTATAGTGCAACGATCACAAATGGAGCTGCTATGAGCCATCCTAGTAGCTGCAAAAATAAGTTCTTCTTTTAAGCCAGTTATATGACAAACCAAACCAACTTGCCATAGAAATACTTATCGATGAGGAAACCCAATATTGTCTTAAGATTTGAGAACACTAACAAATGACAACATAGTGAGTAAAAAATCCATTATTAAGTTATTGAAGCTAAAGGATCGTAAAAGATTAGGGTAGGAAATGCGATGAGCAGCTTTGCATCAAATAGAAATTACCAAAATCTACACCACTAAGCAAACACAGAAGAACCTTACCGCATTTCCAATGCTTATAAAAACATCTCGGGAAGCTTGACCGGTGAAAACCTTCTTTAGGGCATCAGATGTTAAAGGAAAATGAGGTCCACCGGTTATTTTTTCGCCAAGTCGTAAGAAAGGCACCACAAGACTTCAACGTGAAACACATAGCAAAAAAAAAATTACACATAAGGGTTCAATTTGATACTGCATACTGGTAACTGGAAAATGAATAAAAAACTGTTTTGTGTTGTCTCTTTCTATTGATTAAAGCGGTAATTTTAAAGGAAACTTGAAGTGGAAGTAAATGGTTACCTAAGTTCTATTGGAGTAGCAATGAAGTTAGCCAACATCACAGTTGGAGCATGACAAAGAGATCCAAGCGACGCAATAGCCACGCCACATAGCAACACGGTAACACCTATCAAAACAAAAATATCCCATTGAGTAAAATGCTTTAGAGATTCAGAGATCACAAACACTATAATGTTTGATGAGAAACTATTCGACAATCGAAAGGGGCACGAGAACGTACCGCAGATTGGAAATACTCCCATGGTAATACCCAATGCCGCAGAAAAAGCCAGCTGCTTTGGCTCAGCACCTCTAAAGGGAAAACAAATCAATCTTGGTTATATTTTCTTACAACATCAACACTCAAAACATCGAATCTTTACAAGCTACATGGTTACACAACTGTTCAATTTGGTCTCTAGTGGTACAAATAAAAAACCAACCATATGTCAGATTTTGCTAACCAAATCAAAACAGTCAAGTTGTTGCACAAGTTATCAACTTTTTCTTTGGTTTTCTTCAAGTTATCTACTTTATATAGGAAATGGTATCAAACTACATCGATGAACAAGTAACCAACTTTATGATACATAGAGAATGATTCATCACAACAAAATATGAAGATAGTCACAGAATAAAGAACCTGCGCAAGATCTGGACAAGTGGTTCACTGATCTTCTTATCGAACCAAGCTTTCAATCTACCTTTCGAAATCGCCATAAGAATTCTTCAAAAAAGTTGATGAATTTCTCAGCAAGTTAACAAATTTAGAGACGAAGAACACTTCCAACAAGTAATTGAATGGAATTTGGATGATTGTTCACTGAAGAAACCTGAAGAACTCAAATCAGCTTGACTCTTCTTATCTTCCTCACCGACTCCACGGAACCCGAGTTGGGTTAGGGTAAACAGGTCAAAAACCATTTTAATGGGCTTTTGTGATGTTTTTTATTGGGCTTTATCCATATCACTAAACCGGGTCGACCCGGTCGTAATTTCCTCCTTCTAGATGCTACACTATTTTCGTTTCCCCGCTAGTTTCAAAATTTTGTCGCCATTTCGAAATTTCTCTGAAGGTGAGAGCTCGCGTAAAGCTTTTTCTTCAAAATCTTCTGGAAATTTCATATGTATCTCCGATTTGAATCGTATTTGATTGATTAGGTTGAATTGAAGAAATCGGAGAAGTGAAGAAGAAGAAGAAGAAGAAGAAGAGATGGAGGAGTATCTACAGTATATGAAGACTCTCCGGTCTCAAATGACTGGTAATAATCTTCATCTTCATCTTCGCTTCTGATTTTTCCGATTTGAGCTAAAATTTCATCTGGCGATTGGATTCGATCGAGGTTAGATGTGGAGGATCACGCGGCGAAGGTCTCCGTCGAGGAACAGATGCAGGTTACAACAATCAATACCTTGGAGAAAGATCTCGATCATGGTGAGTTTCTCTTCTCTCAGATTTTTCGGATTCAAACGTTTTCGTTTACATGGACGAACATTTTAGGTCGTGATCTTTATGGAAATTTTTGCTAATTGAAAATGATTTGATTTGGAAATCCATAGATTGCGAGTATTTCTGCTGTTTCGTATTTTCAATTTTGTGTTTTCTGTGTTAGCTATCTTTGATGTGTTTGCCCAGATTTTGATTTTTGTTTTGTGAATGTTGGTTGATTTGGCTGTTTTGTGATCAACTATTGAGTATTAGAGTAGCAGTTCTTTGTTCAAGTTAGTTCAACTCTGGATACGCACTTTCTACACAGCTTTATAGGAAGTTTATTTGATGAGATGTTATGTGATTTTTCCTAATGTTGGGATCACTCTATCTGAAGCATTGTCTGAAACGAAGAGACTTAAAGAGGAAACGGATCAGAAGACGAGGAAGAAAGGCGAAATATGCTCGCATATACTTGAGAAGCAGAGAAAAATTTCGTCCATGGAATCTGATTCAGCAAATCTTTCACAGGTAATTAAACTCTTATATAAGCCATGAATATGCCTTGTAGAAGTAGAAAGATGAAACTATATACAGGTCTAATTATGCTTTAGTTTGTTACACTGTAATCTGCTACACAGTTTGTTCATTGTGTGTGCTGCTTACACCGAGTTAACTGTTATCCTGTGTTGTAGAGTCTGGAGCTTATTCTTCAAGAACGAGACAGTTTATCTGCAAAACTTGTGTTGAAACGGTAATCCAAGAACAACTCGCTAGAACTGGATTGCTGTTCTGGAATCACCTGACTGCTGTCAATTTAATTGTTTATAATTGCAGTACTAACTATGTCAAGACGGCAGAAGAAGCTAGAACCAAACTAGAGGAGCAAAAGGTTTGTTATTTGCATATCCTGTTCATGTGATTCCATTTTCTGTTTACCGACGCAGTTATCTTTCTGATGTCCTATTTTGGCCAGGGCTGGTTTATCTCCCATATGAGCAATGAAACTGGTCAACAAGGACAGGTTCGTTCTCCTTATGAATCCTTAAATGCTTATTATATAATTATATTACAAGACACTTTCAATATTTTCATAGTAACTGAGGTTAGGATTTCTTATCCCTTTCTTGTCGATCCTTGATACTTCAGAAAAAAGAGACAAGGAATAACCTGATGGAACTATCAGATTCTGCTAGAGCAAAGCTTGATCAAGCAAAACAGATTAGATCCAACCTTCTTCAGGAAATTTCGAAGGTTATTTACTTGAGATCCACTTTTTACTATTGGTGGTTTTGGTTGTTGCACTTTGTATTTGTGATATGTGTTGTGTTGTTTCCCATTTGTAATTCCTTAAATAAGAAGAAAACCAATTTTGAGTACACAGATTTGTCTTTTTGAGCTTCTTTCTGAATTCTATAGTTTCATTTCAGATCAAGCTATCAATTGAGAATGTGAAGCACAAGATTAATGAGTTTAAGGTAATTACTCTCTGTAATCTTTGCTAGCATGATGTTGCTTGAGTTCAGTCATGTAATATTTTGTTCTGCACCTGGTACTGTACTATTTTCTGAATTCGTCAACAATGCAGCCAGAGTTAATGTCAGTGGATATTAAGATCCTAGAAGAGGAATACACAGCTCTCTTGTCAGATGAGTCTGGAGAGGCAGAGTATCTCAGTTCGCTGCAGAGTCAGGCTGAGAAACTGAAGGTGATTAGGTGACATTGATTTATATAGGCTTTATTTGATTACCAACTATAAGATCATGACCGCCTCCATTTGTTGCAGGGAATTTCTTACATTGCTAAATGTGGTTGTGGAGAAGAATACAGTGTTCGTCTTGATTAGGCCAAAGTTAAGCATCCTTCAAACTATTATCTCAATATGTGAACAAATCAAGAACGAAAAGTGATGTGCTAGTTCTTTTGAATCTGTGGGTTGTTTTTAGTTTGTAGAGAGATACAACTATCATGCTGTCTTGTTGCAGTATATAATGTTTTACAGTTTCAGCCTTTCAGGTTCTCTATATGCATGAGAATATCATTTGGCCTTAAATTGATGAGGCGTGTGCAAATACAACGTTGTATCTTAAGCCTTTCATTAGATGCGTTAGACTATTCACAGCCTAGTGAGAAATGTAGATATAATGTTGAGATTGGATGTTGAGTGCGTGTTATGATTTAAACCAGAAGTAATCTTATTCTTCAGCTAGCTATTTCTAATGTAATTGTATCACCATGTAAGCTTATAACATATACCATTATATATGATCTAAATATGCGCTCATCTTCTTGTGTAAAATTCATCTATGATTATACTTCGGACCACACTGTACCATCTATGATTATACTTCCATTTGTAACCTTTGTGGTCCGAAGTATAATCATTTTCAAATAGTGCAATACCACGAGCTCTTATAAATGGTACAGTGAGGGCATAAAGAATCAACGAGAGACTGACGCCAATCATCCCCCATCTATTGTCTGTTACCAACTCTAGCACTCCACATACATTTTCACATGCATAGCATATCAGTGACAAGGAATTCGGGTTCCGGTCCATTCAAGGGTATGCAAATAAGAATTGGGAAATCACCAACATTTATCCAAAACTCTCCACAACTTGAATTTGTAAGAAAATTATGACAGCAGCACATAACAGAAGAATATTCAAGCTCGTATAGTTTACACGAAGTATCGGCGAAGACATGTGTGAAGTTTTCCTTGCCATAATGCTCAACTCATACTTGCAAGGAAATCCCTTATCCCTTAATTGAGAAGCATTTTTTAAAAATAACCTTATCTTTGTGATTATCATGCTGACGTACCGTTCTCATAGAGCTTTTCAATCCATTTAATTAAAAACCCAATATTTATTATGATATTTACATATTTTGCCATTAGTTTTACTTATATTTATTTTTTCCACTTAATTTCTGTTTTTTATTTTACTCAATTAATTAAAACTAAAATACAATTAAAATATGAAATTAAGATATAAAAATCTATACATAATGGAGTACCTAATATTTTGTATATTGATTAATATACCAAGATATATATCATAAATAATGATAAACATATACATTAATATATAAATGAAAATTTCACTAATCTTGATAATCATTAATACACCACCGTTTATCTAATAATATAAAAATTGAACACCTTCAATATCATCAATACATTCAAATTGGTTAATAATCGTTTTGTTCCGCACATAGTGCGGATTGTTATCTAGTTGTTTTTTAAAAGGGCAGCATTATTGGCATTTTAAAAAAACAAGAAATTAAAAATGGTGGAATCTATATAATTAATTAGGAATCACTAAAAACTAAAAAAACCTTTTAGTTGTAGAATATTACAGAGAATACCATTAAGATAATTGCATTCAAAAAATTAACAAAAAAAAAATCGTAAGAAGGTACAAAATAATTTGAAAGTAGTATATTCCATTGACACAATCAAAACTAATATTTCATATATATATTTCGGAAATATAAGAGAATATTCCAATACAAAAATCAATATAATTAACAAGTTTTCCATAACTAAACGGATTAATATTATAACTATTTCAAAACTATGTAAAATCTATAATTATGCCCATTAAATTAAAATAATTTAAAGATATTTGAATGTCTATTTTTAATAATATTACTGTATTAAAATGACATTGTTTTAGTATGCTTTACGTTTTGTGCCATCACCAACAATTGTTTCTCAAATTAAATTCTATTTTCGTACAAAACACTTATAAATTAGAATTTGAATAGTATGGAAATAAATAAGTAAAACATTTAAAAGTTATATTATAAATACTTTTAATTGAATGAAAATCTAAAATATTTTAGTTTGATCAAATAAATAAATAAATTATAAAATAAAAATATCAGAAATATTAATGTAGCTTAGGTAAATGTGGACCGTTGGATGAATCAACCATCAAAATAAATGAATAGCTAGACCGTATTAAACCAAGAGAATCAGGAAAAAATGAATTTAGTTACCATAATTAATAATATACACCAAACCAAATTTTAGAAGTATCGGGATATATCGCATAGGGACGAGACATGATAAAATTGTCACGGACATGGCTCAGCCTCCCACGACTCAGCCTCGGGAGCTTAGTTAGGAGGGTACATATCTTTACTTTATCTATTTTGTTCTTATTGATGGTTATTGTTTTACTTTGTTGACAAATTTGTGTTTCTACTTTGCACAGAAACACAACAAGAATATTTCTAAGAACTTGGCTTATCGTTCGGTGGAAGAGGAGGGTAAGAATTTTTTCTAGATATTAAAATTGAATCTTTATTGTTGGTTTGTGTGATTGAATTTGGAAAAGAATTAAAACATAAACTAATAGTTTTGTTGTTGTCGTTTTCTACTTTCTTTCTATGTATTGCTGCAAAGATAGGTGTGAAGGACGCCTTGTTGAGGCTATTCACAACTTGGCTGATGGTATTGTTGATGAGGAGTGTGTTAAATTTGTCCGGATATGGCTCAAACTCCCACAACTCAGCCTTGAGAGCTAGTGAGGAGGGTACAAATCTTTATTTTATCTATCTTATTTTTAGTTGTTAATTAATTATTATTGTTTTACTTTATTGACAAATTTGTTTTTCTACTTTGTAGAAAAATGCAACATAAAAAAATATTGCTAAGAATCTGGTTTATTGTTCAGTAGAAGAGGATGGTGAGGATTTTTTCTGGAAATTAAAAATGAATTATCTAAAGTTTTGGTTTGTGTGATTTAATTTGAAAAATAATTAAAACACAGACTAACAATCTTGTTGCTTTTTTCTACTTTATTTTTAGGTAATGTTGCAAAGGTTGGTGTTAAGGACTGTCTTGTTGGAATTATTAGGGAAATGAATAGTAATTTATAATTTCTTAGTATGTTTTATGTGATTGGAAGTGGAATAAAAACTAATAATTTTGTGTTGTTTTCTAGGGTGAATCATCAAAAGGATGGAGACGTTGTGTTTTTTTTTTTCTTCTTAAATGCAATAAAAAGCAAACCAAAGAAAAAGCAAGTGATTGTTAACTTCAAAGACTTTTAAAAGAAATTCGACACTCAAATCAATTAATTAGCTATGGTAACACGAGTTGTCATAACACGAGATGTAACTTTGAGTAAAAATTATGTGGTATAATTGTAGATTGATATTAGACTATCTACAATGGTTTATTTATTCAACACCCTACTTTTCACTCCACATCATGTTCTCTTTCTTCCACTAATCATTTAACATCTATTTCAATTTTAACCTCTACAATAGTTTTGTTTAATAAAATTCAACACTCTACCCCACTTTTTATTTTATTTTATATTCCATTTCTTATTTATGTTTTCTACTTTTATAATTATATATTAAAAACGATTAGCGATTAAAATCAAATAAAAATAATTAAGAGTTATTAATTTTTTTTCTTTATTATTTTAGATTCTTATTTTTTTCCAAAATAATATTTAAAGAAAATATATAAATATTCATTATGAAGATAAATAAAGTTACAAAAAAACATAAAATGCAATACAATATATTAATAAAAACACGTTACAATTTAATAAAACACATACCACAATTTAATAAAACACACATAACTTAATTAGTACAATAAACTCAATTCAAAAACAATTTTAAATCACGCATAAAAACTTTAACATCCATTTAATTACCGAATTTTGCCTATATGACATCATCGATCCATAATATGGCCGATAGTTTGGAACAGCTGACGGCATGAAGAAATTTGGTGAAAAACCATAATTTGGTATATTTTGGGGTTGGTTAGAAAATTGATAATTGTTGGGATTTGGGTAGTTAAAAGGGTTATTAGAAGAATTTTGGGTGTTTAAAGGGTTATTGTTGGGATCCATTTTATAAAAAAAAAAGATTTTTTTTCTGTGTCCAAATTATATGAAACAAGTCTCTATTTATAGAGTATAAAAAGTTATGAATTTTGGTATAAAAAATAAATATAAAAAATAATATACTATGAAATAATTGATGTCAAATAAATCGGGTGGAAAATTTTATCAAGAATCTCAGTAACCAATAGTAATGCAACACGTATCTTTATCTACTATACATTTTTGCAGCAGTTTTTGGGGTCCCTAATCGGGTCAAAATTTTGACCCGGAAATCATTTATTTCGACCCGACTTGGAGACAATCAGATCTTACCTTCTTTGTGATTTTCTACCCAAATTTTCTCAATCGAATCTTACCATATTTGATGCTTCCTACATTCAAGGCAAAATGCATTTAGTTTCTCATAATTGAAAGATATGGAGAATATATAGTTATAACAAATTGATCCAAATCGTTTCCTAAATAGGTGCTAATGAATTAAGTGCAAAATATTTTTTTTTCCTAAATAAATGAGCTATATAAATTCTGGAATCAATCAACCTTAAATATTTGGAAATATCTCATATATAAACGATTTTAACGATATTATCCTAAATTGGTTAAGAGTATATGACGATTTAAAGATTTTCAAAGATATTCAAACCTTGCTAATCAAGATTATTTTTATCCTCTAACCCAAAACCCTACTAACCTATCAAAACTCTATATATAATCGCTCATTTCTCCTACCTCTAAACACAGAAAAAACCAATACAATTCTGATCTCTAGCTTAAGGTCAAAAACCTTACCAACACCAATGGCCGTATCCTTTGCTTTCTCTGTATATACACTACCTCTGGATATTCTAGATCCACAACTGAAGGCGACTGAATATGGTACAATGTCTTTCACTCCAACGGCCACAGTTTCAAAGCATTTGATGTGGTCCATCAACATACATTGATCTATAATCTCAGGAGCTTTTTTCTGAATTTTTCCTTTTGTGCATGTCCTCCACACCTATACGCTGATACCCAGCTGCAAACTATATGGTGGTATGTGGTTAATAACCATTGCCATGAATCTAACAATATTCTTAGCATATAATCCTATATAACAAAAACTTGATTCTACATACAATCTCTTTCTTACCTTCACGGGTTTTGATAGTATATTGTCTTTATCATTGCCAAACCCTTCAACAAGCTTTCATATTATTTCCCGAAGTTCTTTCTCTGTCAAACCACAAGTGGCTGCATCAATCGATTCATAAGTTATGTTTTTTCATGTATGACCAAACTTTAGAAATTGGTTTCACAATCAAATCGTAATTCGGAATAAAGACATGCAAAATGAAATCGTCTTTAAAAATAAACCTATGTACAAACAACAAATCTTTGTTTGGAAAGCAAATAATTCGATATCTATATTATCGGTAACGATTGAAATTCTTTTACCTATTGATTCAGCTTTGAACATGTTCTTCGGAACCGATTATAATCCTTGAATAGGAAGTCATGTAGAACGGAATCGAATTGGGATTCAATCGGCGAGACACCGAGCCTGTTGTCGATTTTCAGTTTTACATATTTTTGTGTGTTTTTTTTTGTTTCTCAGGAAACCATCAATTTATTTTGTTTTTTTTCCAATTTTCGTTTTTCTTAATTTTTTTCTGGAATAATATGAGCACAAAATATCTACTCAGTTTGGGTTTTCTCTCTTGGCATATTTGGGTTTGCCTTTTGTTTATTGGGCTTGAAATGATTTATTGTTTTAGTTATAATAAAATGATTATAGATCAAATTACATTATTAACACACATATACAACACAATCTATAATTATGCTAACAAATATATTTGATGCAACAATCAATTTATAAATAAAAACTTTGATATTAATATAAAGTACTATGTTAGCATAATTTATTTATAAATATATAAAGTACTATGATATTAATATAATCAATTTATAAATATAAACTTTGATATTAAAACTATAATATTAATATAATATTTGAACCTCTATAAATAAACTTATATATTATGAGAACCATTTGAAAGCAAATTTTTAAATTGATTCGAATTATATGTCTCCAAAATAAAGTACTATTAAAAAGAAATAACAAAATGATATTTAATCACGGGTGAAATCCTAGAATTAAGAATTAAAATACAATTATATAATTTTAAACACTAAACAAAACAAACAATATTACCAAAACAAATACAACCTATAATTTAAATTATTTTGTAAGAAAAAAAATTAACCCGCGGTGTACCGCGGGTCATATCCTAGTCTTAAATTAATTTTCCAATAATATTTGTGCCCAATAATAATCTGACATGTGGCAAAATGAGACCCATTGTTCGGCAATTCAACATGTTGTCATTATTCAACATGTTAAAAGCCATGTCGTTATTTACAATTTTTCAACACCCTCATTGCATATTCTCAACTGTTGAAAAGGAAAATTAAACACCCTCATTGTAACTAGTCTTATGAATTTGCTGTGAAAATATGAATTAACATTTTTTTTAAATAACTGACTTGTAACGTTAATAATATATTAGTTACAATATACGTTATTAAAATAAATTAAATATAAATTTTCTAATAAAAACATTCTTTTAAAAATTAAATAAATAAAAGTAGAATAAATATAATGACACTATCTTAAATAATAATAAAAATATTTTATGACATAATATTAAAAATATGCTTATATTTAAGAATGAGCTCTAGGTACCTATATAGCTATATAAAGCTATAATTTTGTGTATGTTTCAATAAATATATAAAAATAAAATCGAATAAATTCAAAAATAATTATAATAAAAACAACTTTGGCTAAGTTAAGAAAATATTTTGACTAAGTTGTTGACAGGATGCTTAGCATCATTATTAGAAATAGATAAAAAGTAATAAAAACAAAAAACTGTCGGGTAAACAACTAAAAATAGAGACAAAAAAGTAAAAAAAATTAATAAGTTCTTTAACAAAAATTAATAAGTTAACTCTACGACATGAGATTTTCCATGATATTGAATAATATTTTGAGTTAACAATTTTCCATAAGACATAACTCAAAATTGTAAATCAACCATAACACATTGTGATCCAAACTAACCTTAAAAATTTGTTTATGATTGATAACATTTTTGAGTTATCTATGAGTTATGTCCATAACTCTAACTTCACAATTTTATTGATAATAGACTTTCCTTCAGCTTCAGCCCATTAGCACTCTAAATATTTAACTTATATCTACGGGGACCTGAGTCTCCGACAAATTCAGCCTTGTGACATTTCCGTTTCTTTCATGTCCAAGCACAAAGCCACAGTGACCACCGACGGGAATAACGCTGCGGCTGACGGCAACAGTTGGGAGTTCGTCATCGAATTTAATCCTTCGAAAACCCTAGCTGATCCTTCAAATTTGAACTTAAAAAATTTATGCCAAGAAGCACACATACAAGAAGAAAATCCAAGCTTGGTTTGTTTAAAAGCTTGCAAATTACACATGCGAAACTATTGGTGTATCCAAAAGCCTGCTCAACTCATACTTGCAACTTTGCAAGGAAACTAAAAAGAAAAGGTATAACTATTGGCATTTGATTCAGAATTCTACCCACTTCGCATACAAGTTCACATGCATAGTACATCAATTACAAGGAATCATAAATGGAAATAACCAACTTATCCAAAGCTCTCCCCAACTTGAATATGCAAGAACATTATGACAGAAGCACATAAAAGAGAAGAAAAATAAAGCCTGTTCAGTTTTAAAAGGTTGCAGATTACACATACGAAACTCCAAAAACACCTAGTATACTCAAACTTGCAAGGAAACTAAGAAGGAAATGAGGTAGTTGCACCACCTAAAACTTAGTAGCATCAGTTTAACAGAGAGTTTTAGTATTCAATATCATCCATACAACATATAGGTATTTCATATTTGATTCAGAACTCTACCCATTACGCATACAAGTTCACATGCATAGTATATCAATTACAAGGAACAAATGGAAATAACCAACTTTCCAAAGCTCTCCGTAACTTGAATTTGCAACAAAATCATGGCAAAAGTACATAAGAGAAGAAAAATGAAGCCTATTCAGTTTAAAAGCCTGCAGATTACACATACCAAGCTATTGGTCTATCCAAACGCGTGGTCAACTCAATCTTGCAAGGAAACTAAAGCAGCTTCAGTTCAACAGAGAGTTCAGTATTCGATATCATCCATATCACCCATGTACTCAGCAACTTGTTCAAGTCTAACATCAAGCATCTTGTGGTTATCTAAATCACGAACCACACCAGTTTCTTTATCCAAATCTTTCTCAACCAGATTTCCATAGACACCCTTATGCTTCCCCGATAAAACCAAAACCGGCCCTCCTCGTCTAGGTAATGCTGTCTCAAGCAACTCCTGATCCACCCCTTGAACCAACTCTTGCGTCTCATCCATCGTGATATCACAAGTTGTTGGTCCAACAACATCAACAACCTTTCCTTTCTTAAGATACAATCTCCCACCTTTCAATTCCTTGCTCACTATTCGCACCTTTATCTGACTCCTAAGCCATGAGGGCTTCACTTTCCTCTCTCTTGTTTGACCTCTATCCTGCTTCTCACTGACTCTAACTTCACTTCGACTCCCTCTCTCCGTTCCTCTACCTCCTCTACTCGCTTTCTTATCCTTCTCCTTATCATTTAACTGCAAATCTTTCAACTTCTTCAAACACTTTTCCTCTTCCTTAGAACCCAAATCAGCAACCTCATTCACACCCACTTTCACTTCCTCTTCACTTCCAGAGATCTTCATAACAAAGAAATCACTACCCAGTTTCTCCACAATCTTACCCTTTAATCCTACATCTCTCCCTGCAATAATCCTCACTTCTTTCCCAACAAAAAACACATCCCCACCATTAACACCCACTCCCATCTTATCAAGTTTCACACTTTCCTTCCCTCTAACCTTCACATCCACAACCTTAGATCTATCCGGATCAAAACCTAACCCTTCCTTAGCAGTCCACTTTTTATATTCCTTAATCTCAACATCTTCTTTAGCATTCTTACCTATTCCTTTCCCCGGCTTCCATCCATATCCAGCCATCAAAGCAGCTCCAAAACCTTCCACAGGAACACTCTCAAAATCCTCCAAAGTCGGATCATCAGCAAGTGACTGCAGATCTTTCCTCAAACTTTGTAACATAAGCTGCTCCCCCATAGATACTTTCCGATCTTCAATCGCATCACCACCAATTGAATCCTCCTTCACTTTCTGACGCAGATTCAAACCGTATGTGATGTTATCAGGTCTCTCATGACCAGGTAAAGGAACCTCAGGCTCGAATTCGAGACCGGAGCCTGTATTACCGGATTGAAGAGGTAGATCGAGATTCTTCATCTTCTTGTGAGGTCTCCATGTATTCTCAATCGGAGGAATAACGTATTTGGGGATGGAATTAGATAGGGTTTTTGATGGATCGAATTCGGTGACGAACTCTTTACTAGTTCCGTCGTCAACGGCGTTGTTAGCGTCGGTGGTTGCTGTGACTTTGGGCTTGGATTTAGAAGGGAGAGAGAAAGAGAGCTTCATGATGATCCTTCTCTTCTTTTCTCTTCTCTCTCACACGAACAAAACCGAAACGTCACGGAGACGGTGAGAATCGCAAGGTTAATCTCGCCGGAGATTCGGTGCTTTTTGATATATTTAAAGCAGATGGGCCTTTAAAATAATTATTGGGCCAATGGGCTGAAAAAAAAGAAAGTCCATTGTTAATTAATTTTTTACTTTTCCATTTAGAGAACGCTTTGTTAAGTTATGGGAAATAGACCAGGTAAAGGGAGCGGTTCGGGCCTCATTGCCATCTGTGTTGCTGTTAATTAATGGAATAAAGATCAAAGAGTTCAAACTTTAAAGCATCCTTTGTTGGCTTGTTGCCGAGATTTTTTATGATTATCTTTTTTTTTTCCATCAACAAACGATTAATGATCATTTAAATGCTACATTTTTACGGCGATCAAATTTGAAACCAAATCATGTAACCTGCACATAGAATATGCGGTGGCCTTAATAATGATCAACGAATCTCCCAAAACAAGAAAAATAATTCAAATGGGGAAATATTTCCTTTAAATGGAGATTCTTTAATTTTCCGTCATATATAACCATACCTCTCTTTTTCGTCTCTTTAGTCTTCTGCTCTAGTTGTTATTGTGATCTTCATCAAAACAATGTGATTCTTGCTTCTTTTCTTCAAACGTTTAATTACCAAAAAAATAATTAAATTTTCAATATGGCTTTTTCAATTGTGAAACTAGTGAACTTGAAGAGAAAGAAGTGGCAGTCGAAGCTCCAAAATACAAAGAAACAGGTTTTAGGCCGATGTTTAGCAAATTTTAGCAGACTTTTGAGTTTTCGTAAGAAACAAGAAAGGAACGGAAAAAACCCTAGATGTAGCAAAACCACGCTTGCTGTTGTTGTTCATCCAATATCTAGTGCTATACAAGAGGATCTTGTTGAAGACATATGTAAGAAACAAGAAAGGAGCGGAAAAAGCCCTAGTTATAGCGAAACAACGCTTCCTGTTGAGTTACCAGAGGATCTAGTAGAAGAGATTCTTCACCGTCTTCCGGTGAAATATTTGGTAAGATTGAAATCAGTATCGAAAGTATGGAAATCATTGATTGAATCCAGTCATCTAGCAGAGAAACATCTCCGTCTCCTTGAAAAAAAGTATGGAGTCAAAGAGATGAAAATCACTGTTAAGTGGTCCACATCAAAAAGCATTTGTATAAAGTTTTTCTCAAGACGCAGTGGAATGGATAGTAATTCAGAAGGTCTTCTTCGAGTTCCTGGTTCTTGTAATGGTTTGGTCTGCGTCTACGAGTTGGATTTGGTCTACATTTACCTACTCAACCCTATGACAGGTGTGACCCGGACACTTACTCCTCCTCGAGGTACCAAACTTTCAGTTGGATTTGGATCAGATATTGTTACAGGAACATACAAAGTGGTGGTTTTGTATGGCTTCGACAGAGTAGGAACTGTGGTTTTCGATCTCTCCACTAGTAAGTGGAGGCGGAGATACAAAACCGCTGGTCCAATGCCACTTTCTTGCATTCCAACCCCTGAAAGAAACCCAGTTTTTGTAAACGGCTCACTCTTTTGATTGTTGGAAAGTGACTTTTGGGAGATACTAGTCATGGATCTTCACACTGAAAAGTTCCGTACTTTGTCGCAACCCAATGACATGGATGATGTTGATGTGTCCTCGGGTTACATTTACATGTGGAGTCTCGAGGACCGGCTCTGTGTCTCTAATTTCAGACAAGGTTTGCATTCTTACGTGTGGGTTCTTGTGCAGGACGAGCTTAGTGAGAGAACTAGATTTAATCTCCTAGGTCATGTCCTTCCTCCACTAAGCTTGGATTCTGCTTGGTTTTCACAGACCTTGGTTTCTCCTTACCAGTCGTCGTCTTCAACATGTATCGGTTCTAGACAAAGACAGAATAGGACCTCTGCACTATGTCAGTAACTATCTTTCTCTTTCTCATTTAGATTGCTTCTCAAAGAAGTAAACAGAATTATTTCAAGAGTTAGATTCATTAAAGCATTTGTCTTCTTTATAGTTTCAGGATATGAAGATACAGGATATAAAGGATATCACTCCATCAAAAGCCATTCAGAACCAAATTCCCTTTCAGCTCCTGTTTCAAAAGCAACCCACATATGAACACTTAAGGGTTTTCGGATGCTTGTGTTTTCCAAACATCAATCATTCTAATCTCACCAAACTTTCAGCTCGTTCAACTCCATGTCTCTTTCTTGGGTATCCCTCTCAACACCGCGGGTATAGATGTATGGATCTCAAAACAAGAAAGATCATAATCTCTCGTCATGTCATCTTCGATGAGACCAAATTCCCAGCTGCTGAACCCATAACCCCACCCGTATCATACACTTTTCTTGACGACAGTGATGATACATCTCCTCAATTTCAGTCCATCCTCCAAGATCCTTTCCAAACACCAACTCCTCCGCCAATCCCAACTCCTCCTCCACCGCCACCAGTCACAGCTCCTACACTTCCACCGCGCCACAATATGACCACTCGGTCTAAGGCCGGTATATCAAAACCAAAACAGGTTCTTTCCCTCATCACAAAAACCAAATCACCACTTCCTAAAAGTCACTTGCAAGCTCTCTCTGATCCGAACTGGAATCCGGCCATGACGGATGAACATGGTGCTATGCTTAAGACTAAGACTTGGGATTTGGTACCAAGACCACCTAACGTTAACATTGTGCGTTCTATGTGGCTTTTTAAGCATAAATATGATGCAGATGGAGTTCTTAACAGGCACAAAGCAAGGCTGGTCGCAAATGGCAAATCACAAGAGGAGGGCATCGACTATAATGAAACATTTAGTCCGGTGGTTAAGCCAACAACGATTCGCACTGTGCTCAACGTTGGAGTTGCACTTGAATGACCAATTCACCAAGTAGATGTCAAAAACGCCTTTCTACAAGGAGACCTTGAAGAAACTGTTTACATGCACCAACCGCCCGGTTTCATTGACAAAAGCAAGCCCTCGCATGTATGCAAGCTCAATAAAGCCATTTATGGTTTAAAACAAGCTCCACGAGCTTGGAATTCTCGATTCTCCTCATACCTCAAGCTCATGGGCTTTGTGCAAAGCAAAGCAGACTCCTCTCTCTACATTTTCAAGCGAGGACGTGAGTGTGCTTACTTACTTCTATACGTTGATGACATTCTCTTGACAGCTTCATCAACACTCTTACTTCAAAAGATCATCTCAAAGCTGAAAACAGAGTTTCCAATGACTGACATGGGCAAGCTGCATCACTTTCTCGGTGTAAAGGCAGATTTCAACGACAAAGGTCTCTTTCTTAGCCAAGCGGTTTATGCGCAGGACATCATCACTCGTGCTGGCATGGTAGACTGCAAGCCACTTGCTACTCCGGTTGACCTACAGTCCAAGCTCTCCATCACAGACGGTGAACTCATTGACAATCCGACGTTTTATCGTAGTCTTGCTGGTGCCCTACAGTACTTGACATTCACGCGTCCGGATATATCATACGCTGTTCATCAAATCTGCCTCTATATGCACCAACCTCGGGTACCACACCTTCATGCTCTCAAGCGCATCATTCGATACTTGCAGGGCACGCTTCAATTCGGAATTCAAATGACAAGAGGCAACATTGACACTCTCACCGCCTACTCAGATGCAGACTGGGCCGGCTGCCCTGATACACGACGGTCTACCTCGGGTTACTGTGTCTTTCTTGGTCCCAACCTCATATCCTGGTCCGCCAAGCGCCAACCAACACCGCCACGATCAAGTACTGAAGCTGAATACAAAGGTGTCGCTAACACTGTTGCTGAGCTCACATGGATCCGAAATTTGATGCTTGAAATTCATCGTCCCATATCCTCTGCTTCAATAGTTTACTGTGACAATGTCAGTTCGGTTTACCTTAGCATAAACCCGGTTCAACATCAAAGAACTAAACACATCGAGCTTGACATTCACTTTGTCAGAGACAAGGTTGCTATTGGCGAGGTCAGAGTTCTACATGTCCCAACATCTCTACAGTATGCTGATATCTTCACCAAAGGGCTACCTTCTTCACTTCATACAGAGTTTCGTTCCAGCCTCACCGTCAGACAACCCGACGATGCGACTGCGGGGGGTGTTAGGAATGATATATTCAATTCCATATTTAGATAATGTTATTAATACTTGATTGTATAGAATCCCTTTGATTTAGGAGACTTCCCTATTCTATGGAACCTCCCTCTCTATATGTATCGATGTAATTCATTGTGAATAATCAAGGGATCATATTCACTTTCAATGGACGCGCCGATCGAGCTGAATCTGTTTCTACACCAATGATGATGCCTCTCTAAACTAATGGTCCTTTGTTTTACTTGTGGTCTCAAACAAATGTTTTCTTGATTAAGTTTTGTATACTAAAGTATGTAGTATCATCAGCTTTTTCATACTCCACAGAATAACCTTTAGGCAACCTTCAAATCGTCAAATTGACCTAAATAAAAATTTAAATCTTCAAATTAACTTTTCCTAAATAACCAAATAAACCTTTAAATTGTCAAATTAATTTTGCCTAAATAAATCTTCAAATCTAAGCTCGAGCAATGGTTGACTGATGGATCAACAACAATTTCTTTTGTAACAGTAAACCGCTGTTGACGACATGTTATTTTTCTTCTGTTTATGTAGTTTCGAAATTCACACATATTATAATGGGAATGGTAAAAGTTTTAATTATTTAGGCAAAATAATTAGTTTGAGGTTTTAAATGAAAAGAAAAAAAGAAAAAGTTGAAGGTTTTTTAGTTGGAAAATTATTTTAATTTAGAGGTTTTATATGATAACAAAAAATGTTGAAAATTTTAATTTGGAAATGTTTCAATTTGAAGGTTTTTTTCTGGAATTTTATTACCTTTCTTTTATTTTCATACGTAAGCGTTGGGGGACATATATAAGTAGAATCTTCAATTACCGTAAAACTTAAGAAACAAAGAAAACCCTAATTCCAAAGAATACGAAGAATGAGTTACAGAGTCGCTAAACCTTCGGAGTATCTGGCGATCACCGGTGGTGGGATCAAAGATATCAAGCTTGCGAAGAAGTCTTGGGTGTTTCCATGGCAGTCTTGCACTGTCTTTGACGTTTCTCCGGTGAACTATACGTTCGATGTTAAGGCTATGAGTTCCGAGAAACTCCCCTTTGTTATCCCGGCTGTTTTCACAATCGGCCCGCGTGTTGATGACCCTCACGCTCTGTTATTGTACGCTATGCTTATGTCTCAACACGACAAGCACTCGAATCACGTCAATGAGCTTGTTCAAGGTGTTATCGAAGGAGAGACTCGTGTTCTCGCTGCCTCCATGACCATGGAAGAGGTCTTCAAAGGTAACATACACGTTTTAATTATCTACTTATTATCGGATTCTTGCTTGGTTTCTGTTTGTTTGAGTTTGTGTATACGTAAAACTTCTTGATCGTTGTTTCAGAAGATTATGTTTTTTTTTGTTTTGCTTATAACACAATCGAATTCTGACATTGTGTAGGAACAAAGGAGTTCAAGAAAGAAGTGTTTGACAAGGTTCAACTAGAACTAAACCAGTTTGGTCTTGTGATCTACAACGCCAATGTGAAGCAGCTTGTTGATGTGCCTGGATATGAGTACTTCTCTTACTTGGGCCAGAGAACTCAGATGGAAGCAGCAAACCAAGCCAAGATCGATGTAGCAGAGGCACAGATGAAGGGAGAGATAGGTGCCAAAGAACGGACCGGGCTCACAGTCCAGAATGCAGCAAATATTGACGCTGACTCAAAGATCATATCCACTCAGAGACTAGGGCAAGGGACAAAGGAGGAGATTAAGGTGAAGACTGAGGTCAAAGTGTTTGAGAATGAGAAGGAGGGTCTTGTAGCTGAGGCTGACGCAGCATTGGCGATTCAGAAAGCTGCGTTGTCGAAGAATTCTCTTCTGGCTGAGGTTGAAGCAGCCAAGGCAGTTGCTTTAAGGGAAGCTGAGCTTCAGACTAAAGTCGAGAAAATGAATGCATTGACTCAGACAGAGAAGCTTAAGGCCGAGTTCTTAAGTAAAGCTAGTGTTGAGTATGAAACTAAGGTACAAGAAGCAAACTGGGAGCTATACAATAAGCAAAAGCAAGCGGAAGCAGTTCTTTACGAGAAGGAGAAGCAAGCGGAGGCAATGAAAGCTGCGGCTGATGCTATTTTCTATTCGAAACAGAGAGATGCAGAGGGACTTGTCGCTATGGCCAATGCTCTAGGGACTTATCTTAGGACCCTCTTAGACGCAGTTGACAATGATTACACAGCTATGAGAGACTTCTTGATGATCAACAATGGTGTTTATCAGGATATTGCCAAGAACAACGCGGTTGCAATCAGAGACTTGCAGCCTAAAATCAGTGTTTGGAACCATGGTGGTGCTAATCAGGGGATGAATGGTGGTGGTAATGGTAATGCTATGAATGATATTGCTGGACTGTACAAGATGTTGCCACCGATTCTTGAAACGGTTTATCATCAGACCGGAATGCAGCCACCGGCTTGGATTGGTACACTAGGTGGTGCTGAACCCAAACAATCACTTCTGGCTCTACAACAAAGAGGTTGAGATCTCAAGAGTGTTTTTTTTTCTATTTTAATATTAGCACTTGTGGGGTTTTCTTTTATGATTTAGAATTTGGAAGTCAGTGTTTGTAGATAATACAATACCTAATTATGAATTCAAAATTTTCTCTTTAAAATATGGCATTATTGAGTTTCAATATTTGTAAATACAAGATTATTGAACTGGTGATATTGAAAGTATTTTAGGCATTGTTTTTTAATGATTTTGGTTGGTAACACCTCTCCGGTTAGATGCTAGAGAGTTCGTCCACTTATCCACCTTTGGAACATTATGAAGCTTTCCTCCGGTTTATACTCTGCGGTGTGCCCTCCTCCCTACAAAATTGAATCATGCAAGGAAATTATTTTTTCAAAATGTAACGACGAAATTAAAAACATCCATTTTATTTACGAGAACCCCAAAAGGAAAAGAAACTTGCTTTGACAGTGGCAAATGTCATATTGTTGGCGTAAGTCCTTGTATATCCAATAACTTGATTGTTAACGAACCAAGGCCTCCAATCGTCAGTTATTGAGTAGTTTAGAGATTTAATCCAAGCTTCAGTTCCAGTATAAGGCACCATCATGTCGTGATCACCGCTGTAAATTAACCAATGACCGATAATCACCTTCGATGCTATTGTTTCGGTGGTACGGTACACTGCTCTTTATGTCTTTCTCATAAGGCAAATCCCAATTGCATCTCATCCATTTCCCTATACTTCCCTGCAGATTTTACTTTCTTTTATTCTTAGTTGCTTCATTGGCACGTAACAAATGATGACATTTTATGTGATATGACATACTTTCACTACATGAAGTGCTCTGCGTACATCTTCATCATTAGCCCAATGTGAAGCTAGCAAATACCGATACATCTGCATTACATCTCTGTCATTTAATAACTAAATGATTTCCATTTTATAACTAAAGCAAGATCAATGGACTTTCTTTGTTTGCTTACATAGCAGTCGGGAGTGGGAAGAGAAAGATTTGGCTGAACAAGTGTCGTAAGATAGCTTCTTTCACCGTGTTCCCCTGAATAAGGATTTGGTGATGCCAAATCACACAATGCTATCAAAATGAGTCCTTCATTTATCCTTGAAACACACTTGCATCATTATCAACCAAAAAGTCTCAAAATTAGTTTTTTGTTATTCCCCTTATAATATATAGCTTTGTTATTCACAATGTTAAAGTAAACTTGTGTTTTACCTTTTGGTAGTTGTCCACCAATATCAAGCATTGTATATTAGTAGGATCCACTTTTACATAATTTCCTTGGCAGGTTCTCTTAAGTGACTACAAACAAGAGTATAAAACTTGACTTCAATAAGAAATCTACTTGTCGTGGAGAAGAGGCTCGATAAGACCTCTATATATACCTCATAGAGTTCATCAGAGATAAGTCCCATTCGATGAGCATATGGAATCTTGGAGTTATGATCACTATCAAGATCTGTTGAAGGGTTCCCAAGAATATAACCCTGTTGATAGAAATGATTGTGTCAAACAAGATATAGCCATCTTATATATAAAGTCATGATGAACATATGAGTGAAGATATTGATGAACCTTAAGATTCATTTTAGGGTTGTCGCCATGTTCATTTCCTGTATAAATTTTAAGACTGTAATAAAGTGACTAAGTAAAACCAAATCCAGAGAAAATAGATTTTGAGGAATTTATTGTAAGACAAATAACAAACCTATTGAGATCTGCTGAACAATAGCTCGAACAACTATACCAGCGTAAGAATCTCCGCCGACATAGAAAGGATTTGAGACATGTTGAAGTGTTTGTTTGTTTCGACTTTTGAATAAGAAACAGAGTAAGAACAGTGGTTGTAACTTGATCTTTATTGATAACTTGAAAAAGTATTACAACTCAAGTAACATGTGTTTAACAATCACACAATCTAGAGTATTTAAACAAACCGAACAGATGTGATGTGTAAATGAAAGAACACAACTCTTAAAAGGACACAACCTTAACATAGAGTATTTGTGTCTCTTGATCAAGTAACTAACTAATGTGAATGTAACTAACTTATACGAGATTTTGATTATAGTTCAACACTCCTCCTTAATCAAATCTCTGTTGCACTCCAAGCTGTCTTCGAAGTTCTTCAAATCTTGAGCTACTTAACGCCTTTGTGAGTATGTCCGCGAGTTGATCTTCTCCTTTGCAGTATTCTAGTTGAATAAGTCCCTTGCTCTCTGCCTCACGAACATAATGGTACTTGATCTCAATGTGTTTTGTTCTCTTATGCTGCACTGGATTCTTCCCGATTGCTATGGCGGACTTGTTGTCACAAAAGATTGTGATTCCTTCCTTGATCTCTTCTCCAAAATCCTTGAGGAGTCTTTGAAGCCAGACTGCTTGATTCGTTGCTGCACATACGGCCACATACTCTGCTTCAGCCGTTGATTGAGCAACGGTTTGTTGCTTGCTTGATTGCCAACAGAACACGGCTGATCCAAGGGTAAAAACATATCCTGATGTGCTTTTCTTGTCTTCAACGGAACCACCCCAATCGCTGTCTGAGTAGCCGATTAACCTTGGCTCTTCCACACTTGTGAACTGAACCCCAAGACTTGATGTACCTTTGACATAACGTAACACTCGCTTTGCTCCCTGGTAGTGCTTCATCTTTGGCGCTGACATGTATCTTGCGAGGTAAGAGCTTGCATACATCACATCAGGTCGTGATGCACATAAGTATAGAAGGCCTCCGACAATGCTTCTATACTTTGTTTGATCGCCATATTCTCTGTCATCTCCTTCCTTCTTACCTTGTGGTGTAAGTGGAGTGCTTACCATCTTGCTTGATCTCATCCCAAACTTGTCTACAAGTTTGTTAGCATACTTTTCTTGAGAAAGAAATATGCCGTGGTCATCTTGGATTACTTCAAAACCGAGAAAGTAACTTAGCAATCCAAGATCCGTCATCTCGAATTCTCTCTTCATGTTTTCCTTGAATGTATTAACGTGATGAACGTTGCTTCCTGTGATGATGATGTCGTCCACATAAAGGCTTATGATCAACACATCTCTTCCTTGCTTCATAGTATACAGCGCTGCATCGTTCATACTTCTCTCAAAACCGTTTTGAATAAAGTATGAATCGATTCTTCCATACCAAGCCCGAGGGGCTTGCTTGAGACCGTATAAGGCTTTGTGAAGCCTTAACACCTTCTCTTCCTTTCCTTCAATCACGAACCCAGGTGGTTGTGTAACATAAACCTCTTCTTTTAATTCTCCATTTAGAAAGGCTGACTTGACATCCATTTGGTATAGCTTCCACTTCCTTTGAGCCGCGTATGCAAGTATAGCTCTTATGGTGTCGTGCCTTGAGACTGGGGCAAAAGTCTCTTGGTAGTCAACTCCATGTTCTTGAGAGAAACCACGAGCAACCAATCTTGCTTTGTATTTGATTGGCTCTCCATTTGCACCCGTCTTTATCTTGTAGATCCATTTCACACTGATTACGTTCTTCTTCTCTGGTTTATCTACAAGTTTCCAAGTGTTGTTTCTCTCGATCATCGATATCTCTTCGATCATGGCTCTTCTCCATTCCTCGATCTCAACTGCTTGATCATAGTTTTGCGGTTCTTCTTGTGCAAGAAGACATGCTTCTATGACTTGAGCCGCTTCCTCTAAATTCACCCTCGGTGCGTTTTCCAAGATTTCAGTCATCGATCTGAATTTCTTTGGGGTGTTGGAGTCTCCTCCATCTTCTTCTCTGGTATTTTGAGACCTTCCGGGTGAGATTTGCAGATTTTTGAAAGCATTACTCACTTGATCTATTTGATTACTAAGATCGTTGCTTACTCCTTCTTCATTGCTTTCCGCTTGATCTCTTGGTGCATTGACGTTGGTTATGGGCAAGACAAAGGTTTTGTCGACTTCTTTTTGTTCTTCCCAACTCCATTTCTTCTCTTCTTTGAATTCAACATCTCTTGAGACTTCGATCTTCTCGTTTTCAAGGTTGAAAACTCTATAGCCCTTCGTTTGATCGCTATAGCCGATGAAGATGCACCGCTTAGCTTTTGCTTCAAGTTTCTTCCTTCTTTGATCTGGTATATGAACGAAACATACGCTTCCAAAGACTTTTAAGTGTGACACATTAGGTTTGTGTCCACACCACTTCTCCATAGGAGTTAGATCACCCTCTATTGCTCTTGTTGGTAGACGGTTTTGCAAGTAAGCCGACGTGTAGACGGCTTCGGCCCAAAACTTGAATGGCAAGTCTTGTTCTGCAAGCATCGTTCTTGCCATTTCCACCAATGATCTGTTCTTCCTCTCGGCTGATCCGTTCTGTTGTGGAGAGTAAGGCAAAGTGACTTGCCTTTCAATGCCTTCTTCTTCACAATACTTGGTGAATTCTTTTGATGTGAATTCACCACCGCCATCGGACCTTAGTATCTTGATGAAACACCCTGATTGCTTCTCGATCATCGCCTTGGCCTTCTTGAAAGTGGAGAGAGTCTCTGATTTTTGTTTAAGGAAGTATACCCAACACATATGGGTATAGTCATCCAAAAACAATAGGAAATATCGACTTCCATTAAGTGATTCATGTTGCATTGGTCCGCATACGTCTGTGTGTACGATCTCCAATCTCTCCTTTGTCTTGGATTGAGACTTCTTTGGAAAGCTTTTACGAGACTGCTTTCCAATGTTGCACGCTCCACATGATTCCTTGTGAATCATGAACTTTGGTAATCCCTTTACCAAATCCTTCTGTTGCATTTGTTGGAGCCGAGTGTTTCCCACATGGCCAAGTCTCTTGTGCCATATCTTCATCTCTCCCGGTTCATTAACTAGCATTGCTTCTTCTTGAACCGTGCTTAGCTTTATCCTAAAGCTTTTATTCATCATTGGAATCTCCAAGATCTTCTTCTCTCTTGCATCCAGAATGATGCATTTCTTCTCTTGGAAACATACTTGATAGCCACTAGAGATTATTTGTGGCACACTCAACAGGTTCTTCTCCAAACCAGGAACCAAATAGACGTTTCTGATGATTCTCTTCCCATACTTAGTCATGATCGTGACATCTCCCTTTCCAGCTGTCATGACTATCTCTCCATTTCCGACTTTGATCGGAACCTTGATGCTCTTGTTGATATTTGAGAAATATCTCTCCTCCTTTGTCATATGGTTGGTACAACCGCTATCTATCAACCATGTGTCTTCTCTTGGTATTGTTGTTACTTCCTCACTTGCGGTGAACAACATGTGATCTTCTTCCGATTCACTTTCCTCTTGACTCACGTGTGCTTTCTCTTTCTTCTTTGATCGACACACGTTTGCGAAGTGGCCAATCTTGCCACAATTGTAACATTCTTTGTTACTCTTCTGATCTTTCCATTGATCATTCTCCTTCGGTTTCTTCCTGCATTCACGGTTAGTGTGATTACTTTTCTTGCAGAACTCACACCATTTCTTGCCTTGTGTGCCACGGCGTTTGGTGTGATCGCGTTTGAAACCGGCTTCCTTGTCTTTTGAGCGCGTGTAGAATGCTCCTTCATTGTTGTTATCATCTCTTACAGCCAATCTTGCTTCATGTGCCTTGAGGATTCCGATAAGCTCTGTCATTGTAAGTTGAGACAAGTCGCGAGTTTGCTCCACAACACTAACGATGCTATCGAATTTTGCAGGCATAGAGATGAGTATCTTCTGAATGAGTTGTGCGCTTGTTTTCCTCTCTCCATGATATGTTAATTGACTCTCCAAATCAACTAATTTATCGGTGAATGATTTGACATTCTCTCCGTCATTCATCTTAAGGTTTTCGTATTCTCGACGCAACGTTTGAAGTTTAACCAATCGAACTTGGGGAGATCCTTCATATTCGTCTTTCAACGCTTCCCAAGCCTCCTTTGATGATGTTGCTCCGGATATGCGTGAGAATATCTGATCAGTGACGGCGGTTTGCAAAATTTGCAAAGCCATCGTGTCGTTTGTAACCGCTTCTTCTCTAACGGCTACTGCTCTTAATGATGCAGGGGTTTCTTCTCCTTGTACCGGTTCAGGCGGTACGCCTCCCTCGACCACTGACCAAAGTTTCCTTGTCCTAAGGATGGTCGACATCTTGATGCTCCAGAAGTCATACTTCTCTCCGTTAAAGATCGGGATCACTTGGTGTGAAGAGCCTTGCATTGTCTCGGCTTATTGCCTTTTACAGATGCGATCTGTTGCGGTTATTTCTTCGCCTTTCTTTTTCTTTTTTTTTTTTTTTTTTTTTTTTTTTTTTTTTTTGTGTTTTACTCTTGTCCTCTCTCAATCGAATAGCTCTGATACCATGTTGAAGTGTTTGTTTGTTTCGACTTTTGAATAAGAAACAGAGTAAGAACAGTGGTTGTAACTTGATCTTTATTGATAACTTGAAAAAGTATTACAACTCAAGTAACATGTGTTTAACAATCACACAATCTAGAGTATTTAAACAAACCGAACAGATGTGATGTGTAAATGAAAGAACACAACTCTTAAAAGGACACAACCTTAACATAGAGTATTTGTGTCTCTTGATCAAGTAACTAACTAATGTGAATGTAACTAACTTATACGAGATTTTGATTATAGTTCAACAAGACAAACTCTGGATTCTCCACTAGCCACTGCAAGTAATTCAAAAAAAGATTATATGCTACATATACTTAGATTCTCAACACACTCTGAAAATGCTTTCGAGAAAGCAAGACCTTTTGAAGAAACTCATATGTCTGTTTTGTTTCGCCTGTGTCACTAGGCTTATCAGAAAGAGGAGTTGTTGAGTAGGAGAAGCCAGTTCCAACAGGCTGATCCAAGAATATTATGCTAGCTACCTGACAAAATCATCAAATCTTTAAAAAACCGATAAAACCGAAAGAAAAAAACAACACAAGCCTAACTCTGTTTTGTGATAGAGTCACCTTTGTCCAAGAATATGAAGTGGAGACAAGAGAAGGTGAACCTCCATTGTAACCCTCAGTCTTGAAAGTCAACGGCCCTGCAAAAAACAAGAATCCATTTAGAGACTAAATTAAAAAGGTCATCAAATCTTTTCTTGAAAATCACCGATCTCGAGAGCAAGTGCAGAGAGAGCAGTGCAAGCTGGTCCTCCAGTTAACCAGAGAATAAGAGGGTCTTCTTCAGGATTGTTCTCTGATTTAATAAAGTAGTAGAAAAGTTGCACTTTCTCTCCCTCACCAACACCAATGTACCTTTCGTAATGAAGAATTTACATTAAAAGATTGTTGTTACTAATAGTTACGAAAATCGAAAAGCAGAGGAAGAAAAAAGAGGAAACAAACCCAGTTTCAAGGTGGAATGGAAGAAGACCTTCGAAACCAGGAAGATAGCTAATCACAGAAGCTGAATCAACATCATGTTGACTCAAGAGTAGCAGTTGAAGTAGAAGAAGCAACTTAAGTTTCCATGCTTTAGACATTTTCTTTTAATTAACGACTGGATTTCATTTCAGACAATAAAAGAGACTCTAAAAGAATCGTTTCCAAGTTGACCTAAGGAAAAAAAATCAGGTTTAAGATTCTTCATGTCTCTGTGTAGCATTTCTTTAGTACTTTCTCATTGTGTATTAATTCTTTGTGTATCCACAAGGACTTAATTACGCTAGCATATAATAAACCATTCCTATTCTCGATAGAGATTTAGTCTTATTTCGGGTAGATCAGGGTGAGGTTCAAGAGATCGTTCGGAAGATTGTTCAGGAGATTGTTCGGGAAGTAAAATAGAGCTAAAAATCGTTTGTTATGGATTCATACAACTCAGGAATACTTGGTCTATGAGAGTTAATCATTACGGAGATGGTGCAATGGGGTTTCATCCTTGGTTTCGATGAAGGTGATCCTTGAATTAGTTTTTGACCATGATGTGACTCAAGTAAGGGGAGATTGGTGTTGCTAGGTTGATGTGTTACTGGTGATGAAGTCATTAAAGGTAGAGTTGTTGAGTTCACATACATAGTCAAAAAGGGGGAGATTGAAGATGCAGTTATTTTGGTGTTCTGTACTAGTCGTTGAAGTAGTACAGGAAGTAGTACAAGAAGTGATTCAAGAAGATGAGAAGCATAATTGCTGATGAGGGCTCGAGTACTTGGATGATGGAGCGTTTATTAAGTCAAGGAAAATGAAAATATCTTTGTTTGAAGACAAAATGAATCATGTAAGTAAAGAGGAAGTTTGCTTGAAGTGAAAAGGAAATTGGCAAAAAGGAAAACCTTTTCCTTATGGGATTTAGAAACTTTCTCTTATGTGTGATTGGAAGAACTTGAGGCGCAAGTTTCTGTTTGTTATATAAAGAGGACGTGACCTTATGAGAATATGGATTGGCAAGAGTAAAAATCCCAAAGAGATTTGATGTGAGAGATTGTGTGTGTGATCGTGTGCGACGTAGTTTTGCGGGTTTGTGCTTGTGTGATCAAGCTTATTTGTGTGTTGGTGTTAACAGTTCATATTGGAGAATCTTGGTGATCGTTGGGTTCGTTGGCGTGACGGTTCGTGTGTGGTGGTTGTTCCAAAGACTTGGAGAATTGAAGTCTAGACTCAGGGGGAGTTTAGCTCAGGGTTAGGTTATCTTGATTAAATCTAGGCTCAGGAAAGTTTAGTTAAGGCTAGAGATTTATCCTTAAGATTTCATGTTAATAGAACGGAGCGGTGAATCAAGAGGGTTGTGTTTGGTTTACGCGTTTGCGAATAGGTTGTATTTGCTTTCTTGTTCTAGTGAAATCGAAATCTGGACATGGTCCCAGGGAGTAGGAAAAACCGAACCTCGTACTTTATTAAAGTACTTTATATACTTTAATAAATACGTACTTTATACCAAATACTAAACCCTAAGAACACATGGTTTTTGAAATATTAATTCTGAATAAAAATAAAATACTAGAACAAGAAACCGAACCTCGTACTTTATTAAAATACTAGAACATGGTCCCAGGGAGTAGGAAAAACCGAACCTCGTACTTTATTAAAGTACTTTATATACTTTAATAAATACGTACTTTATACCAAATACTAAACCCTAAGAACACATGGTTTTTGAAATATTAATTCTGAATAAAAATAAAATTTGTATTAAAGTAATATGTTCGATTATTAATATAGTTTTTTGAAAAGAATTTTTTAAAATATTAACTTTTATGTTCCTTTTCGAAGTACTTTTGTGAATTGTTAAAAAATAAATTTTATTCTTTTTTTATTCATGGTGGTATGACATAAATATACGCCACTACTATTTCTTAATTTACATAAAATATTTTATTTTGGAAATATATATATCATACTTCATCATAGAGTCTCTTGTTTGCTGATTCACGATCCTTGGATCGGGAAAACGGCCAAAATCAACTCCAACTATTTTTCTGCAGCTTTTTTCAACCCAAACTCTGACCCCATCACTTATCAATCCGAACTCAGACCATTTTTAAAAAACAAACCTAAACTATCTAACTGTTATCCAATTTCAACATAGTTTTTTTTTGTATTTGTTAATGTCGATTAGAATTGTAAAGTCGTAATTATCTGTTCTTTTGTATTTGAATCATTCTTTTTATTCAATTGGCTAAAGTTTAAATAATTGAGGTTTGTTACATTATTTAATAACAGGTATATGTTAAAATTTGCTAACGATTACATAGTTCAGGTTTGTTATTTAAAATTTATGTGGGTTCGAGTTGATAATTGGGGTTGATATCGGCCGTTTTTCCTCCTTGGATCTCATCAGAAGGTAGATCTTCCCAATCTCATGACTTTCCTCGACAATAAGCTTTACATATTATATCCATATAATCCATAATAAAATTAGGAGATCAAAGGTAAAACATATTCATATTTATTAATTTTTTTGCTTAATTTTATCTATATATGTTAAAACTTAAAGAGAAATTTAAATAATTTTTGATAATGATTAAATTTAATAAAATAGCAAGGTGGTCCAAATGAGCAAAAACATATTTTATATATGTTAATCTGGGTTTTTCACATCTCTTTCTCACTTCTGACTTAGCACAGCTAGTCATAGCTTTAAAATCGGAGCTTCAGCACAAGGAGCTTCATGGGATTCTCTTCGATATCCTGAATTTATCTTATACCTTTGCTGTTATTTCGTTTAGTTTCATTCCCCGTTTGCAGAACTCTGATGCCGATTCATTGGAAAAACAGTATCTGGTTTCTCTTGTAATGGACTTGGCCCAAACCTAAGTTAAATTGAATCAGCCTTTGCACAAAAAAAATATATGTTACACTTAATTATAATCATATTTAATTTAGGAAAATGATTTCAGATGATATAATAAAAATTTTATTTTTGAAAGTTTATATTAAAAGAATTTAGTTCAGTTTTAATATATATATATGTAGGTCATAAGAGAACAAAACTTTAATAAATATAATGTAATGCCGTTTACCTAAATACTTTAATTACATGTTAGATTTTAACTGAATAAGTTAATTATGATATTCTATGCAATTACCCTTATCAAACATAATTCTTTTCAAAAATCCCATGAGCATAGATAAAAAAAAAAAAAACCTTTGGTGGAACTTTTTAAATTTTTTGGTTGAATTTCATTGGGTTGGTTTTATGGAAACTTTGATAAAAATAAATACATATTTTATATTCTTTCATATGATCTTTATTTCTTACTTAATTTGTATGATTAACTAAAAAAAATTGAATTCAAAACATAATCAAGTCAAATGTTATACAATATTAAAAATCAGAAAACTATTTACTCGAGATATACGAAACTCAAACGTCGATCCTTCTCAAACGTTGAGTAATTATGTAAAAGAAATAAAGAATGGCATAAACTATTTGATTTTTTTTTTTTTGACTCATGGTCCCATTAGTTTTACGTATTCAAGAACAAAATCATCTTGAAACAACTTTACGTATTAAATAACAAAAGAAAAGAAACTCTTAACTTTTTGATAAGTGATGTTGAGAATAATTACATAATTGGTTTTTCAATTTATATCATAAATTTTTTAACAAACTTACGGTTTTCAAATTTATGAATACATATAGATCATAAGAGTAAAATTTTTTTTAATAAATATAATGAACTGCCATTTATCTAAATACTTAAATTTATAATTACACTTTAACTGACCATAATAATAGATATAAATTTTCTCAATGTATGTATATAAATCTTATTGGTGAGTTGAAAAATAGAGAAACAATTAAAAATAGAACTTAAAAATAGAACACTTTTATGTAGAACTAATGGTTGTGAAGCTAACTTGAACACCATATGAAATCACAAACCTAATTAACTTGAACACCAAATGAGAAAACTTTTGTATATATATTTATTATGTGGATGATAGCCTGAAATAAAGAGAAAGCAACTAAAAGTCAATAAAAATAAAAGAACGGACTGGAAAAAGCAAAAACTCTACAAGAGTTTTTTTAGCTTCACATGTGGGTAATATATACAAGAATTAATTGGATTTAATGTTTTGAATTAATTGGAGTTATTGTGGTTATCTGTTAGCCTAATGCATCAATTTAGAGTTGTTTGACGTTACATATGTTTTAATAAGTTCATTTGTGGGTTTTACTTTGGGTAACTAATTCCAGAACAAAAAAAAACACTAATATATTTCGGTATTAGAAGCCACATGAAAAGCGTTACTGGAGAAGAAAACTCTTCACAAACATTTATTTTGAGAAAAGGCGTAACACATGGAGCAATACATCAATATAATGCATGTTACTATATTTCTTTATTAAAATTACATTGACTGTTACGTAAGTTAGAATTTCATTTACTGATACATTTATAAAACAATATATGGGATGACATATAAAATTTAATCATTCCTGTAAATTATATATACTATATAAATACATTAAATGTATTGTGTAATAAAAATTGTAAATAAATACTCCAACTTGGAGTTGTAACGTGTGAGAATAAATTGGTGTTATAAAAATTAAAACAAAAAAAAAGTGAAATTGGAAAGAAGAAAAAAAAAAGACAAATTAGAAAAGATTAGAAATGTATTTTATGGAGATATTAAAATATTATGTATGATAGAAAAATGAGAAAAACAATTAAATTTAAAAATAGATGCCAAATGTACTAATATTATGAGAAGTTTTAAAAATGTACTATTGTACCAATAGGATAAGTGGTGATTTTGAGAATAAATTGGTGTTATAAAAATTAAAACAAAAAAAAAGTGAAATTGGAAAGAAGAAGAAAAAAAAAGACAAATTAGAAAAGATTAGAAATGTATTTTATGGAGATATTAAAATATTATGTAAGATAGAAAAATGAGGAAAATAATTAAATTTAAAAATAGATGCCAAATGTACTAATATTATGAGAAGTTTTAAAAATGTACTATTGTACCAATAGGATAAGTGGTGATTTTGAGAATAAATTGGTGTTATAAAAATTAAAACAAAAAAAAGTGAAATTGGAAAGAAGAAGGAAAAAAAAGACAAATTAGAAAAGACTAGAAATGTATTTTATGGATATATTAAAATATTATGTAAGATAGAAAAATGAGGAAAATAATTAAATTTAAAAATAGATGCCAAATGTACTAATATTATGAGAAGTTTTAAAAATGTACTATTGTACCCATAGGATAAGTGGTTATTTTAAGTAGATAATAATTTTTGTAAAATAAATTAGATACAATTTTAATTTAAATACATGTCAAATGTACCAATAGGATAAGAGAAATATATTTTTTGGAATTAAATTGTAGGCACAAATTTTCAAAACTAAAGATTTTAAATAAATTAAAACAAACATTGATGCAATGAAGGAGGACACATGTCACCAAAAGAGAGTGCCAAATGTCGTAATGGTAGGAAAAGTTAGAACAAAACCTTCTCATATTATATAAGATAATAATTTTGGTAAAATAAATTAGATACAATTTTAATTTGAATACATGTCAAATGTACCAATAGGATAAGAGAAATATATTTTTTGGAATTAAATTGTAGGCACAAACTTTCAAAACTAAAGATTTTAAATAAATTAAAACAAACATTGATGCAATGAAGGAGGACACATGTCACCAAAAGAGAGTGCCAAATATCGTAATGGTAGGAAAAGTTAGAACAAAACATTCTCATATTATATAAGATATATAACTCCCTAATCCCTAATTGTGAATTGTGAATATCGGAATCCGCAATTAAGTATTTCGTTGTTTTGCGTCGGGTCTCTAGTTTTGATAGTCGAAAATCTTCGAAACGTAATAGAGTGAATTTAGAAAAAATGTTTTTGTATTGATCTTGACACCAAAACCCAAAGATAACATAGCTTCTAAAACGAAATTAAAATATTAAAAATCTCAGCTCCAGAAAGATTATTTAATTTTAGCCCTGCGAGATAAACCATTACTAATATTTTTGACCCCAATGAAAGGCATGTTCCGGTAGCCAAAGTGGAGAACGTTTGGTCTTTACGTAGATTGCATCGGGTCTGGCACTATATACGATTAACTTATCACATTCAGGAACAAAATGTGCAGTGTATGCCCCGAAAAAAGAATAAGTAATTATTTTTGACCCAGACCATTGCTCCAAGTTGCAGTCCCATGCGAACCTTCTTACGGATGCACCCTCAGTGAAACTAATACGTAAAACCTCGTGATGTTTCAATTCACATCTTTGAAGACTCGACGGTTTTTGCTGGAAACGCAAGTGACTTTAAGAGTACGACCATTAACAAGCTCGTTTCTAAATATAAGACGGTTTTCTTTGCAAGCTTCACTTA